TTCTTGAATCGAGCGAATTCAAAGAAACAAGATTGTCCAAAGCTGGCTAAACTGTTGACAACACACAAAAACCTCAATTAGCTTGAATTAAAAATTTGAAATTCGCAACCTTACCTTTCAAAACAGTTATTCCCCAAGCAGTTGCCTTCTTGCTGTTTCTAGGAATTGCATCATCAATAAAAGAATCAGTGTCTGAATCTGACAAATCGTCAAAATTTGAGTCAGCCGAAGCCATGGTGTAATGATAGTGGTGTGCTGAATTTGCACCACGGCTATTACACCACGATAATGACGTCTGGGAGGTTGTTTCGTCACAACCAAGAAAATCGGAATTCGTACAGTGTATAGAAGTTGAATAACAATGTTGTATAATCCCCGAGACGAATCTCTTTAATCAACTGAGCAATTCTACTAATGTTTGTTTTTAGGGACCTTAAGCAGATCATGTAACATGTACTTAAAGCTGAAGTTTGATTTTTAACAAGTTCAGTAGTCATACAGTTATAAAAGGAACTAGCAATTAAAAATTCTGTATATGCGAAAGGCGAATACCTGCGTAGAGTTATCACTACCCGGTCCACAGGAATGGAGATACATGGTCGGTTATTTCAACAAAGTTTAGCCGTTATTTAATGAAACGTCGTCCTAAACAATTCTCAATTCTCAATTCAACTAGACCTTTTATCTGAACATTTAATTTTGTGAATAGTGCATGTCAAGAAGGCCGAAAGCTAGCAGTGGAAAGATGTTTATTCAATGATCTCGTTTATGACTGGCCCACGGGGATTATGTTGAGGGAGGAAAGAGGAAGAAAGGAAGAGGGGAGGGGAGGGGAGGGGAGGTTAAAAAAGCTCCAGACAGGGGTATACTAGAGAGTGGGCTCATTAGAGGGTGGAGGGCGGGGGGTCGAACAGTGACGTTTACGTCTGTGGTGTTTAAAGTTTATTTGACGTTGTTCGGTACCCCCGATGTTATTTGTTTACATTCTACAAGTTAAGATCTATAAAATTGTATCCTTTTTTAACTCGTGAATTGCGCGCATGCGCAAGAGCGAGTTATAGATACGATGTGGGGAATGCCATTCGCTCGATTGGTCGATTCCTGTAAACTTTTTTTAGATTTTAGGCTTTTGAGTGCATTTGATAGTTTTTGGCGAGCAATAAACAGACGAAATGGCGACCTTTGTTGCTAAGAATAGTGGTGGGGTGAAAAAGAAGCCAATGATAATCTTAAAAGAGTTTTTTTTTTTCGTTTTGGTTTCAACAAGCGGCGCCAGCGACTGGCAGGCATGCAAGGATTCACACTGAAATAACAGAACAACCTTCGTTTTTCATAAAATTGTAATTTACAATCCTTGAACTTGAAAACAATCCGAAGATTCATTGAAAATATCACTTACTGCGAAGCGCTCGGAGTTTACAGATGTTCAAAAGCTTTTTCTGTTATGGCGTGAGATTGAGGACAAAATTGATCATTACGTTTCGTCGCGTGTGTTTTTCCTGTGTAAAGCAACAAAAGATGCCGGCGACTGACGAAATAACAAGTTAACACGAAAATCAAATAACACCTAAACAAACAATTTTAGCTACCGGTTTTCAGTGAATTTTTAAAGAACAATTTTCTTTTAAGTTTCAAGACAATTTGAAGATTCAACATACATACAACGTACTAAAATGCGAAAGTTACACACTACAAAATTGATAAATAGGCCTGAAATGAAATTCTATCTTGTTATTGATTATACGTTGCCTAGCACGTGACTTAAATCTACCCAGGCGGAGATCCAAAATGACGGTGGCAGGCTTGGCTTAGTTATATCACTCAAAACTCGTTCCCGTTTGTCTCATTTGATAAAAAGGGAATCGTTAATGTTTTCATTAAGACAGTATTGCCTTGATTTTGTAATATTTACAACGAAAGACAGTAAATTTCACTTTTCACCCACATTTACTTCCAACCTTTTCTTTTGAGCCAGAAACAAAAATGATAGACGTTTAAAACACATGACATCATCCACCTTGTCAAATGTAATAGCATGATCATTTCAATTGTAATGCCTTCTTATCCCAACGTCACTTTGTTTTTTTGCTACATTAGCGAACACTGAACTACTGCTCGTACTCTAGATATGACAATCAACCACAAAATTCCCTAAACCAGATAACATTAAACATAGTCTAAAAAATCATGTGTCAATTCACGAGTTTGCTCACAGAGCACTTTGATTCAATTGTTCGTCCGATCTTTCTTTTATGGTGTTACCCGTCGATTTGGCTGGTACCGTGCACTGCTTTGTCTATCGTTGCGTTTTTTTTCATGCCTTCTGACTTGGTATGCGCCCAACCTTTCTTGTAAGGTGTTACCCGTTGGTTTAGCTGGTACCATGCACTGATTTGTCTCTTATCCTTGCGTGTCTCACTGAATTGCCAGAAGAAAAGATGCTAATTGTGTACTGTTACTTTCCGTTAGTGCTGTACATCCTTTTTCATAAATCATCCTCAGACGTTGTCACTCTGCCTCCCGTGAACTGGGATTTTCAGCAGTTTGCAAAGGGCAATTTCGAGGGCATTTTAACTGATTCCTGTAACAATGGCCATGGCGGCAAGGATCATATTGCCAGAGGTGACACAAACTGGTTAAGAAATACAGGCAAGGTGAAAAACAACTCACCGAATCAGAAATTTCCTCCAAGTGTTCGCAAGGCAACGAACTTGGACGATACAACAGATAAGAAAGTTCATCAGCTTTTTTTAATATCTGAAGGTCCCCGAAAGGGCGCCGTTTGCCTTGACGGTTCCCCTCCTGGATTGTACCTACGCAAAGGAAGTGGCTCGGGAAAATCGAAGTGGACAATATTTTTTCAGGGTGGTGCGTGGTGTCATGATACTGAAACATGCTATCAACGAAGTGGCACAGCGCTTGGTTCTTCTAGATGCTACGGCCGTTACCTTTCCAAAGTAGAAGGACTGCTTTCCAATGAAGCTAAATACAACCCTGACTTCTTTAATTGGACGTCAGTGTTTTTTCCGTACTGTGATGGCGCATCGTTTTCTGGAAATCGCGCTAAACCATTAAAATTTAAAAAGAAACTTCTTTATTTTCGAGGTCACCGAATAATGGATGCTCTACTCGACGAACTTCTTCAGAGAGGCATCGGAAATGCCTCGGAAATAATATTGGCTGGTAGATCGGCTGGCGCTCTTTCTGCCATCATACACGCCGATTATATCCGATCACGTTTACGAAGCGTGACGAATGCATCCTTCCGGGTACTTTCGGATGCTGGATTTTTCCTGGACGAACCGTCTTTGAATGGCTCCAAAATCGCTCGATCGGTTATTCAACAGATGTACTCGTTACATAATTCTTCAACGGGCTTAAATCAAGCTTGTCTCCGCGCGCAAAAGCGTCAGTATAAATGGCGCTGTTTCTTTCCGCAATATTCTCTTCCGTTTCTTTCTTCGCCTATCTTTCTGGTGAACTCTTTGAACGATCTATGGCAGCTGGCTGTTTTCTCAAATATCCCGTGTGTTGTCAAAGTGAAGACTTGTCATTCAAAGGAGTTGCGTTTCCTTGCGAAGTTTCGCAAGAAAACTTTGCATGCTCTGCGTTCGGTTTTTGACTCCAGGAAGACAGCAGTATTCGCAGACGCTTGTCTAGCTCACACGCAGTGCGCCATGAATGATTATTGGACGCAAATCGAGGTAGAAAATATTTCAATTGCGCAAGCTTTCTCTGACTGGTATCGTGAAAGGGAACAAAACCGGTTTATGATCGACCCTCTCTCCTATTCACGTAACCCAACCTGCCCTAAGCGTTATCATTGGCGATAAATATAGAATTTTTTAATTTTTGTATTTAGCTCTTAAGAAAAGATGCTGCTCCATAGTCGCTTCCTTGCCTGTGAATATCTGTGATAGGCTGCTTTGCGATTTTTATTGGTGTGCAAAATTACCTAAAACTGCAAATATGAGGTCAATAACATCAAAAATTATGAAAGAGGCCAAAATAAACCAGGAAGGACAGCGAATGGCCGAGGATTGAAAATATTTCTATGTAGTGGAAATAGAGGTAATTAAATTTGTTTGACTGACTGTTATGACCGATCCAACTCTAGAGCGGTTTTTAATAACGAAATTGTGAAATTTGAACTGTCGTGTGTCTTAGGCTCACGAAATTTTAGCACTTCCTAGATAAAAATGTCTTGTCGGGGATTTTAACAATTTTTTTTAGGCTGAGGCTGTTTTAGCTCGGAAAATGTAATTTTGAGTGTGAAAAAATTTCAGTACATTTGTAGGACTGAGGTTCAATATACTCAAACGAACAACTTTTTTTAAGAAAAAGTGTGGCGTTGTACGTAGTTTCTGGATCATAGTATGGGGAGATTTCAATTGTTTCTTGCGGCTTTTTTACGTAGAGGAAGGGATCTGGAGTATAACAGGGTAATTTAGTATCATCATCAACTGAGTTGGCCGCCGTAAAGAGTTTAAAACGCAGCACCACAGTTTCCTTAGAAATTTACCCCCTTTATTCATGGTTGGAGTAGTTTGGCTTGGACTGCAGATAAAACTTGAGAAATGAGGACCCATGTTTGTAACCCTTTGACCCGTAAAAAAGACCAGCATCCAATTTCTCTCGAGAACAAAGAGAATGATCACCAACTAAAGAAGCTCTAACTTGATTGTTTAACAAATTCTCCTTGTCCGCACCTTAGGAAATGTACAGAGAACGATATGGAGAATATACATACTGATGCGAGCGTGTAAAGGGTTAATATTCACAAACCGTAGCTTAGCGCACCTAGTCCAACAAATTCTATGTTTTAGGTGGCCACTATCAGTTTAGCAGCGCTCTCTCTTCTCTTGAAAAGTGGAACACCTGCTAAAATTATCTTTTTGTCACGGCAAGCGATTGTGACACTATTTCAGCAGGTTCCCTTTTAAATGCTCCACTCTAGCGTGTCATTGCATTTTCCATTATTGTTTTTTGTTGGCTGAAGAATGGAATATTTTGTCTATTCTTTTGTGATGAGTCTCCTGTCCTTGAACTTCTTAGAAATCTCGTATGCCATATCTTCCCATCCTTCAGTGAAAGATTATCGGTATTTTGCAGCGGGAAATTTTGATGATTTACCAACGGATTCTTGTAGGAATAGAGAGGGAGAAGTTGACAGGAAACGTAACGGGGTCGCCAAGCAAAACAGCAAGAAGAAAGAAGTTTTATCAGCTCTTGAAAAACTTTTTCCCTCCAAAGAAAAGGAATCAGTCGAAATACCTTATAAACTACATCTACTAACCAACGCCTCTGACAAGGGAGCAGTTTGTCTCGACGGTTCCCCTCCTGGAATTTACTTACGGAATGGAAGGGGATCAGATAGATCGAAGTGGATAGTGTTTTTGCAGGGGGGTGCATGGTGCCATGATGCTGAAACGTGCTATGAGCGAAGTAGCACAGCGCTTGGTTCTTCTAAATGTTACACCCGTCATTTTACAGATGTACAAGGATTGCTCTCGAGCCAAACGAGAAACAATCCAGATTTTTACAAGTGGACTGTGGTCTTTGTTGCTTACTGTGACGGATCATCGTTCACTGGAAATCGTGACAAACCGTTCAAATTCAAAGACAAGTTACTTTATTTCCGAGGTCGACGTATACTCGATGCAGTGCTAGAAGAGTTGCGCCGACGAAATATCGACAAAGCTACCGAGATCATATTGAGTGGCTCGTCAGCTGGTGCAATGTCTGCGATCGTACACGCTGATTATATCCGAAGGTGGCTTCGACGCGAGACGAAGGCCTCCTTCCGTGTTCTCGCCGATGCAGGTCTTTTCATTGACGTGCCGTCACTGAATGGAAGTGAAACAATTCGATCTGTTTTTCGCCAGGCATACAAATTACATAATTCTTCCTCGGGATTAAATGAAGACTGTATACACGCCCAGAAGCGTAAAAAAAGGTGGCATTGTTTTTTTGCGCAGTACTCTCTGCCCTTCGTTAAATCTCGTTTATTTGTAGTCAATTCTCTGTACGATTCCTGGCAATTAGCCTACGCATCTAATGTTCCTTGTATTTTCGATATAGAAAGTTGTACTTCTGACGAATATTCTTACGTTATGAACTTTGGTAAAAAAACGAAGCAGGCTTTACGATCTATCCTTGATTCGAAGAGCAAAGGAGTTTTGGCGGACTCTTGCTTTGTTCATTCTCAATGTAGTCAAAACCATCCTTGGATGAACATTCAAGTAAGCAACACTACAATCGCCAAGGCGTTCCTTAGCTGGTACCGGGGGAATCTGGAGAACAGATGTCGTGTTGATGGTTATTATCCTTGTAATCCTACTTGTTGTGATTAAAGTGCTGATGAGGCAATTTTTTTCCTCATTGTTTAACCCTCCAGAGCATTAATAAAATGTATTTTACTTTCAAAAATTCGTAAGTTTGTACTATTTTCCGTGGTCTTTTCATTTCACGTGATGGCGGTTGCTACGACGATGAGAGAGAGAATTAGATAGGTACATTGCATATATATATATAGAAGATTGGATCAAACCTCAAGCCTTGCGCGCATAGTACCTTTAACGGTTTCCAAAACATGAAGAGACTTGGGGTATCAATGTGTCCTTGGACAGGGCTCTATTCTCTCACTGGTTTCTCTTACTGTTTGCTGGTATTCATTTGCGATTCATACTCGTGAGTTTTAAAAATCTTTTTTCCATAAGCGGCTATCGCTCGTGTAATAGTTGGCCGTGCCCGGAAAAGTGCCGTAAGGCGAAGCCCAAACACGAAACCCTGTTGGGTCTTCTTTCATTGAATCCCCAGATACTTAAAGTTGGAGGGTGGCATTGTGAGAGTTGAATTTCTTTCCCATTAACACAGCTTTTTTACCCAACGAAGGCGCCTATCCTGGAGCTTTCGATCGAAATTCCGCTAATGTACTTGAATACAGCTCTATCTATCTTTTCTTCCGTCTTAAATGCGTCTCCCTCATGGTAATCTGACTTCAAAGGTCTGATAAACAAGCTGTTATCCTGGTTTATTCAAAATTACGTCAGTACTTAGCCTTAAAAGCACAAGGCCTTATTCTATTTTGATGATAACCCACGAGAACAAGTTATAAAATGTTGAAAGTTTTACGTGAAATAACTGGTGACAGAGAAATTTTCAATTGTTGGTTTGTTATATTCATCCATAATTGGTCCAGAAAACCTGCAACATAATTTAAACCAATCAGATGCGAAACTAAAAGTAACCGAATGCTGGTCACCCGCGTTTTCCCGCGCTGTAGATAGTCAACTTGTTTTCACTTTGAGTTTTCATTGGCTTCTTGTGATATTTTCCTCTGTTCTGATTGACCCATTTATCACTTTGTTTGAACTGGACGACGCTCTGTCCAATTGTTAGCTCGTAGAATGTAGGAAATTATAATGAACTTAGTTTTTCTTTTTTTTTTTCTTTCTTTTCAGGTGTTTTTCGTGGACTATGGTAATTCTGAGTGGACAAGTGCCAACCACGTGAAGCGCATGCTCCCTCACTTTCTTCATCTTCCATTCCAAGCTCTCGAATGTTTCTTAGGGAATGTGGAGCCTATTGATTTTACAGATGGTAAAAAATGGTCCCCGGATGCTATGTAAGTATTTAAAATTTCAAAAGCTAAAATTAATCTTCTATGAAAGCCAAGTTATTCTGGGAAATCTCACTTATCAGAGGTGCAGGTAACTAAAGTGCATGGTTGTATTACAGGAGATCCTAAATTCTTACTTAAATTGTTTTCAACTGATTTGGTGGTGAAGGGACCACGTTTTGAAATTTTGTTTTAATATTTGCGCCGCGAAAAACTACCCTAAACTCCTGAAGGTTGAAGGTCACGGGAATAGAGGAAATGATCTACAGCTTTAGCGACTCTTGATACTTAAACAAATTCTCCTTGTCAACACCATAGGAAATGTAAAGAGAACAGTATGGAGAATATGCATATTGATGTTGGGTGTGAAGGGTTAACTTAGACTATGTGAGTGAAGGAGGAACACGATCGAATTATTGAGTTTTGTGACTATTGGTAGTATCTGGCTAGCGTCTCAAAGTAAATTAATTAGAATGACTTAAAAATTTTTTTCTTTCGTTTCATCGATGTTATTGATTTCACACCCGTATTGTTATTTTCAGATCAACTTTCAAATCGCTTACAGAGGACAAAGTATTGATAGCACACATCCTTTCTAAGTAAGTTAGTTTTTTCGTTCACTACCTGCGCAATGCGAATGCGAGAAGAACGAAATACGGCATATCTTGTTGAATCTTCCAATAACTCTCCAAAACTGAGGGAGAGGGGGTGGGGGCAACCCAGGACCTCCCGTAGCTATGTCCCCGGATGTGCGTAGGCTTGTGATTCGTCGATCAATCAAGTAATATTTCTTCATCTTTTATTTGCTTCTTTGAAAAGTACTGAAGGGGGATTTGGTGCCAAATCAAGATAGAACCCTTAAGCTGACAGTTTGCCTGTTTTTGTCATCTAGTAGCGGGATAGTGTATTACTGTGACAAGGACAGCTTACTCGTCAGTTTCACTTGGGAGTGAAGGGGTTGACTCACTTTTTTTGTCTCTCAGGGCGTGGAATCAGACTATTTATGTTGACTTGTTCGACACGGAGGGTGAAGAAATTCACATAAACAAAGTGCTGATCGAAAGGGGGTTAGCAAAAGAAACAGACCACACAGTCAGCAATCCCTGGAATATTGAAGCAAGTTTTAAATTCAATCCCCATATGACCACTGGTCTGCCAGGATGATGTTTCGTTGCGTTTTATTCAACAGTCACGCTAGGATGCGTGAACAAGGAAAAAACCGTGACCAAGGGAAAAAAAATGTCACGCAGCTAGCTAGCTGAGCGTCGTGGTGTAGAGCTGGTTGCTACAACAAGCTTTACAGGTAGAGAGAGGGTTCTAAAATTCATTCGAATTATAATTACGTTGCTTGATGTTCACAGTCACGCTTGGCCTGACGGATTAAGGAGAAAGCATCGTGTCACGCAGCTCATTTATTGTCGACTGCATGGTATATTGTGGGGCAGAGGTGTTAGTAAGAAATGCTACACTGGTAGGCACGAATACTCAGAACAGAATGTCTGCAATTCCTGCCGATGAATTTGTGTATACCTCAAAGATAGAAATGGTTTCCGTTTTTCTACAAGAAATGAGGTGTTTTTGTTAATGATTTTGATTAAAAGATGTTAACTTTAACCACCATCAGAGAGTGGGACTGCAAGGACGAGGTAAAAATCGTGAAAGAATGAAAACATCAAATTTGCTTAAGATTAATGTGGAAGATATTTTAAAATCAAAACAGCGTATGAATGGTTTGCAATCAACTGGTTTTGGGACATATATCTTGACAACATTACTGGAGTGAGAACCTTTTTCAAGGAGAGCATTTCAGTTCTAGAAAAGATTAAAAACAATTCTTTTTGTTACTCTTAATTGGATTACTTTCTAGTGTGCTACTACAGAACTTGTGGTCGACTCTGATGATGACTTCCGCACAAGTTGTCGAAGCGTCAATCTCCACTACCGACACCAGTCCTTCTCAGGACTACCCTTACCTGGAAGATCAGACCCCAACATCCAAATGTCACTCCCCGATCCGAATCATTAACTGTATTTCAAATATTTGTATTGTTTTACGTTTTGAAACCTCGGAAAGACTTTTATTCAGCAGCTTGCATATCCTAAACTTTCCTCTCTTGTGAGTTCATCCTGGTCCATTTATTCCTGATAAGGAACTGCTCATTGTCTATCACGGGGAGGGGGGGGGGGGGGGGGAAGGGAAGGGGTCGGATGATTTTCGTCCCTGTCGGTATTTAACAGGGACCAAAGAAAATTATCTATCAAGGACGGGGAGGGAGGGGGGTGGGGGGTATTGGAATACTTCACAGCTACACAGCTACAGAGCTACAGAGCCTCCTAGGGGATCAGGTAAGTTTTATTGTCAACCAACATTCCTCGGACCTCCCCTTCCCTCCCTGCGACCTTAATTTTTAATCCCAGTGATAAGCGTCTAATTTCTCATTATAGTATCACCCCGGAAACCAACATTAAGGTCATAAAAATAAAAGAAATATCGCGAACTCAAGAAACTTTTGATTGTGGGACAAATTCTCCTTGTAAGTCACATAGAAAATGTATTAAGAACGGTATTAATGTTAGCTTTAGGGTGTAAAGGCTCAGCCATTGACTGACAGTAACTTCGGAGACCACAATTTTACAAAACCAAACAGGCAAACGATTTATTTCAACTGTAACGACATGCCCAGAACAAATAAAAATTCAGATACTTTTCTGTGCATGAACTTGGGTCATTAAATTGTGATAAGTAGATGGGAATTTCCAAACTGAAGGAAATCGGGAAGAGTTGAAGGAGGCCAGAGCAGTGTGCATTGTTATCATTTTTAGCTGCCCACTCCTCAGACTTTCTTTCGCCCAATCTTCCCCTGTATCCCTTTTCTACTTAACCCTTTAACTCCCACGAGTGACCAAAAAAGAATTTCTCCTTACAGTATCGATACAATATCAACCAGATAAGTGACGAGAATAAAGAAAAATATCAATTTGGAGATAATTAGTTGATCCAGTACGAAATTCTCTTAACTAACATTACAAGAATTGTATGGTTGACAGTAAAGAGAATGACAAATTTGAACTGGGAGTTAAAGGGTTAAATCAAACCAACCCTCAAACTTCTCTAATGACCCTTGCCTTGCAAAATATAAAATTATTGCTTCCTTATCCCGTGAGAAGGGAAAATACCTACTCTTTTTAACTTCAATTCGACGAAAACTTGGTGAAAGTATTTACATGGATAATTTTACCCGAATTCAATAAAATTATTCCCGTGAAATTATTTTCCAATGGTAAACCTTAGACAAACATCACTTATTGAATCTGATTTTTCATTTGGCAACTTGAGCTCTACAACTTCAACCGAAAACGTGTAACATAACAAATTTGATTTATCTGTTGTCTATCGTTGGAAAACTGAGAAATCATGAGTAATATTCTGCGGTATTTTCAAGAATATTTTTAAATTTACCAAACCTCAGTTCATTCAGTCTCACAATCAAATTCTGTAGACGAAATGCAGTCAGCCACGAATCACTACGCGGTGAAAATCACCGCTGAAGAATTATTTGGTCCAGGAGATGGCACGGTTACCAAGCTTCTTACCAGAGGAAGGACCTGAGACAGTTTGGATTGTTGAAGGGGTACTGACTCATGGAGAGGCTGATGACATTGGAGCGATTGCCACGAACATGGATGCTTTTGATCCGGGCAGGGACGCGACATTTTCGTTCGCAATTGCGACCGCAGGGACACCAACAGTACCCTTTTTGGCAGATAGAGCATTGCCCTGAGCTGAATTGACAAACTGCGATGAAGCTGTAGCAGCCAAAAGGCCCTGGGTTCCACATCCTGGTGCATTCATAGCTCTCTCTTGCGCACTCCCTTGAGCCTGTTTTCCGCTGGTTAAAGGCACAAAGGAACCTCCTGACACGTTCTTTTGTACGGTTGACGTAGCAGATGCCTGGGTTTCACAACCTGACCTTTTCTGAACTTTTCCTTGCGCATGTGCAGGTGTATTTTTGTCTTTAGATGCGGTGTTTACCTTAGCTTTAGTTTGCATCAAACGCAATTGATTATAAGTGAGGGTTCCCGACTGCAAAGAGGTACTGTTCATCAAGTGCCTGTAATGTAAAGAACGAATGAAATGAGTCTCAAAATATTGAAATTGCAGATCAGTGTCATTATCTGAGCTACTACCCGCCTACTCCTCTCCTAACCCAACGTTAACCTTAAATTTTCATTAGTTTCCTGCCTTTATTTGGGTTAGGGGAGGAGTAGGTGCGCAGTGGCTCAGATTAAACTGGCATTGACTCGAAAACACATTCCTTTTTGACGCCGTGGGAAGGTGCGTGCCAGTCTTTGGGGAGTTTTCACGTCGACGAAGAAAGGGAGGGGTGGAGGAGGTTGTTGAAAATATTTTCGTGAATTGGGAAGAAACCATTAAGAAATGGTTTGCAAGGGACGAAAAACATCAAAGGGGCAGGAATCAGCCAATAGGAACAAGGGTGGATACGATAAAAATTGAAACGGAGTGCATGACCAATTTGAAAAAAATAAGACAAGAAATTTACAGTGGAACAACTGCTTAAAGCGATGGACCCCTAAAATGTGATTATTTAAACAGGATAAATAATAATATTTATTTATGAAACCACCTATATAAGATGTAAAAAAATTGCCTTGCTCTCTTAACAAAGTGGAGAGCTGAACAGATATCCTTGAACTACGAAAGAAAAATTTGCAATTAGTTTACTAATGTTACATCAATTATTCAAGTCCTCTGGGTTAGAAGGATTTTGATTTAGCGCAGCACAATCAGTGGTGTTTCTGGTATACAAACCCTATTGCTTTAGTTCTAACGTTGCTAGACACATACTTAATCACTGCAGACTTTCGTTTCAGCGGTCCCGTTGTAAGCTCATGAAAGGCCCAGCTCCACGCGGTCAGCTCACATTTTCCAAACAGTCCCTGTAGACGATAGTCATAAGATTATAATAACCAATTTGAGGGACAAAAATAAAAGTTACGCTAATACCTTGCCACGCGCTCTAAAAGAATTACAGCTGAGACCCTAATAAGAATGCGAACTTCATCTAATTCCGATTCTGCAGCCAGCTGTACTTCTCACCACTTTTCCTTTAGCTTCATCCCTCCCCCTTCCTACTTCCTAGTAACTGTGTTCATAGTCTCTCTTCTTATTTGCTATTGTTTCTCTTCATCATTTTTTTTTGTTGAGGGTTCCTTCGCTTGCTTGCTTCTTCAACTGTTTCTTTGTTCTAGCACCGTTGAAATCATTATCTAGATTTATAACATCACTCACAGAAAATTGCCTTTAAAAAAAAGCAACGAAGTGGTCAAGATTGATACCTTGATTTCACTGAGCCAACGTTCAAGATAGCAACGATGTTTGTGTTGGACTGTATTTCGACTAAAGTACTGCAGAAAGAACACACAAAATTAGACAGGACAATGGCAGTTCCATGTCTAAAGTATACAGGAGCAGGGAATTAAATCGATATTGGAGAAATCCTGTGTTAAACTAAATACACCATGTTCTTTTTTTCCCTTTCTTTTACTTCATCTGCTTTTGCGTTCTTCCACCAAAATTGCGCTTTGCATCTAATATTTTCCAAACGAACATACCCCTTTGCCATTCATAACGTGAAACGTTCTTCCTGCAAAAATTGCATCACCGAGCACCACGCGCGACATTTTCCCGCCGTGAAAAGCAATAATTCGCGCTCACTTTCCTACACTGAAGAAAAATACTTAAAAACTGCTCAGAACTCTCGCAGTATTGTTTATTTTTCGTGCCAAAAATACTCTCAGAAACTCACCTCAGACGTATGACGCATCGCTGCTGTCAGAATGTTATTGGAAGTCTGTTGTTTGAAGGCAGCAATCGCTTTGACACAAGAAACGACCGAATCAGGCAACTACAAAAATTCCGTTGAAAAGATTAAAAAAAAGTGCAAACATGAGATGAGGGCTACATCATTTAAAAGAGGTGGAAAATATAACAAAAGGTATCTGTAATAGTACTACTTATTGCCTTTAAATTGACTTAAGCAGCGAAAAAATTTTTCAAGTTCAAATTTCGTTAGAGACAAACAACAATGCTGTAGTTTGGACAAGTTAGAGTTGCGTGAGTCAAGAAAATTTGGCCAAAACTTTTTTCGGCATCGCTGCAATTAGACTTCTTCAGTAAAATAAACGAAAGTGTCAAATCGCATATTTACTGTTTCTGGTGAGTCTGAAAGCGAATTTAGGTCAGTGTTTTGTTCGACACTTACATTGTTAAAGCTATATCGCCAGCTGGAGAATGCAACATCGCATAGTGTTTTACTCAACCAGTCACAACATGCATCTGCAAACTGGCACGCTTCGTCAGGTTTCTCTAACTTTAGCAAAGTCACTTTAATCTGACAAAGGAAAGAAGTGAAAACAGCTAAGAGCGTTTTACTCATTCAAGAACTTGTCACTATTTATAGATTCATCTAATCATTTATTATTACCCTCGTTCATTCCTTCATCTATTTATTCGGTCATTTATTCATTCATTTGCTCCTTCCGTTGTTTCTCTCTTTAATCATAACTGCATGCACTAACATGTTCTTAGTTAATCAAGGCTCACTAAGCCAATCAAGACGTATGCATAGATTACAGTGGTAGCTATCCATTCAGTACTTCATTCATTCACATTTCAGTCAACTGGTCAGTGGGTCGGTTATTTAATCAGTCATTCGCTTAGAAGTCCTTCAGTCAGCCAGCTAGTCAATTTGTGAGTTGGTCCATCGGTCAGTCAGTCAATGAGTCAGTCAGTCAATGAGTCCGTCAGTCAATGAGTCCGTCAGTCAATGAGTCAGTCAGTCAATGAGTCAGTCAGTCAATGAGTCAGTCTGTCAATAAGTCAGTCAGCCAGTGGTTCAACTGGTCGGTTGATCCGTTGGCCGGACAGTGCGTCAATAAATTTTCAATTTTCTAACAATTTCGACGCACAAGTCAGCAAAAAGGTGAAAAGATTGGGGAGCAGCAAAAGAGTGTGAATTTGACACAAAAACAACTCGTGAAGATATGTAGTTTAAAAGGAAACATGAGAGTAACTGATCATGTCTAAAGGATTCATTGCTATTCACTTGCGAACATTATTAGATCAACCACTTTTTAAATAATCTACAGAGACTTTAAAACAAAAGGCACTATTTACAACGATTGCAAGTACCTTTTCACAGATACTGGAAACATTTGAGGAACCAACTGCAGCAAGGGTTTGTTTTACTTCATCGTACATACCATATCTACCAAACACCTCGACACAACATGCAGCGTGAGACCTGCTTCTAAAAAGGGAGAGAGAGATGTGGGCTTCTTTTGAAATGTCTATCAGTTTCATAAATACCGTATACAACAAGTATTACTTTGGTTGAAACATATTTTCTTCACACAGAAAAAAAAAACAGAAATTCAAAGACAAGTATATTTCGTATTGCTATGCTATATGTAACCAACCTAAATGTGCCCAGCCTACATGAATACAAATAAAACTACTATTTTGGAGTATTGGATTGGAGGATGGGGGAAAGAGGGAGCTATTAGTTGCTACAAGTTTACAATGCAAAATTTCAGTATTAACATTTCCATGGTTAACTTAAATTGCTCTTTTGCTAATTTCTTTGCTTGCTTAATGTATGGTCAGACTTGTACTGTGAATAGCGCTATATACATGTGTAATACTCACGAGAGGTGCTTCTTGAGAAAGTCCATCATTTCTGATTTTATAGATGGCCACTTTTCATCTCTGAAAACAGGACAATACGGGTCAATCTTAAATGTACATTCCATCAACTTGCATTCAACGATTGAAACTCAACAAAAACTCTGAAATAATACTTCCATAGTTACGTACATTAGCAATTTCTAAACATTCACACCGGTCTTTTCTCTTTGTTTACAGTAATATTGAAGAAATGTAAAATGGTTTCCGTGTTTACATAGCCTGATGTAAACACGCGGGAGGTTGGGAGAACACGAGATAAGCTGGGAACCACTCCGCTTCGCGTCGTGGTTTCCTACGTTTATCTCGTGTTCTATCGAGTTTATAAAATTTTAATTTCTTTTATAAAATAACTAATGAAAGAGGAACGAAAACCGTGTTTACATACGCTCATGTAAAATGGTTTTATGGCCAATCAGAGCGCGCGTACTATTTGAATTATTTTATAAAAAACATCTTTAAAGTCAAATTTTATTTGTGTAACATGGTAAGTCATGTTTTGTACAATATGTTTTTATAATTTAATTTAGTTTAGTTAACCCTCTATACCCTTACATTAACCCCTTACCTCCCAAGATCTCTTAAGTAATTCTCCCTACTGTCTGCCAAATGATTCTCATTGTGTTAGTTAGGAGAATTTGGTATCAGATCAATTAGTAATCCCTTAATTGATATTTTTCTTAATTCTCATCACTTCTCTGCATGATATTGTATAGATATAGTAAGGAGAAATTCTGTCTTGGTCACTCACGGGAGTTAAAGGGTTAAGATTCCTATTCTCCTCACTGTTCTCTATACATTTCCTTAGGTGCTGACAAGGAGAATTTGTTTAACGATCAAGAGCTTCTTCAGCTGGTGATCATTTTCTTTATTCTTGCGACCCAACTGTTTGATTTAGGGAGGAAATGTTGTAAGGACAAATTAGATGCTGGTCACTCTTGAGGGTCAAATAAACATTTATTAAAAGACCTTATTGATTAATCAGATGCCAAAAAGTTAAGACACAACAATAGTTATTTGAAACAAATAGTCTTACCCACAAGCCTTCCTGACATCTTCAAAATTCTCAAAGCTTGGATCATTTTTAAAAATCAACCCCATCAACTTTCCTTCTAAAGAATCTAATCCACACTTAACAATCTCCTTGGCAAACTGAAAAAAAAATTTAAAAAGAAGGCTAATTGCTACGTAACGCTATGCGTTATAGACCAAGCTTGTTTGGCTAAGATAGCTAAATATTGACAGAGTTCTCTTTTCGCCTTTTTTATGGACCGAGACGAAGTTGAGGTCCATAAAAATGCAAAAATGAACGAGGATAATATCCAGCCATCTTGACCAAACAAGCTTGCATGGTCAATGAAGGATTTGTTTATTGACTTGTTTATTTCAAGAGCCAGCTAGAAAAGAGAGCCAACTGCGTTTGTAGCGCAATAAACCCTCAAGAGTCATCTATGTTTTCATCATTTTGACTGTCTCGTGCTGCTTTTCACAACTTCATCGCCGACATTGCCCAAAAGTGACAAACTTTGTAAGTACGCTCCATGCACTCATTTTCTTGTGAGGGATCAAAGCGGCCAATACCAAGAAGGTAAGATGGGCCTATCTTGCACGCTTGGGTAGCTTAGGTAATAACTATCCATATCAGTTTTAGACACAGGTCCATACTAGTCTTAGACACATGTCCATACTAGTCTTGGACACAGGTCTTAGAGTAGTTAATGAGAATGCCTTTATTGCATGATTTGCTTTCATGCTATTTTGGAACTAACTTCCCAATCACAGGTCAAGGAAAATATCAATAAGGTCTTTAAAGTTGATGAAAATGCCTTTATTGCATGAACTTTTGTCACGTTATTTTGGAACTTACTTCCCAATCACAGGTCATGGAAAATATCAATAAGGTCTTTAAAGGAGACAATAAAACTCACATAATTTTACTTTGCTTTCAACCAACTTACATCGTTCTTGATCTTCTTGAGTACTACACACAGTCTGTCCTTCCCATTAGAGCTACCATTCTTGCTCAGCAAGGCATCAACAGTCTTAATGAGTGTCTTGACAAGCGACACAGCTTTCTTGCGTATTGATGAGCCTTCTTGACATTTTTTTAAGAGACGACCTATTACAACAGGTAAATCATCAAGGTTGATGTTACTTTAGTAACGTAAAGGCAGCCAATTAGTAAAGGTTAACTGCATCTTTAGTTCAATACATATATCACCATTCCCTAACATTGGTATGTCAGATGAAGCTAAATAGTAATCTTATTTCCAAATTACCAATGGCTGGAATATCTCTTCAATTAACACTATACAGTCAGAAACCTTAATCCATCACTGTTGAAACATTTTGACACTTAAGGCTTCAAAATAATTGTACAGTTTACATGTATATATCATGAACTTCAATTCAGTACAGCTGAGAACACTGCCTCCCTAACTTCTTTATACCAGCAAATTTTTAAAGAGCCAATTCAAAATAATTAAATGGCTGGAGTTTGCAAATAATTTGAACTAATTTTCATGTTTTACAGACTGTACATCATAATCATCATGTTAATTGTCACTGTCATTATCATCACCATAACCATACTCACTACAGTAATTCAAAATGACAAGTATATCTTTTGAAACAACATTGCTGTACATTTAAAGTATGTGTACCTTCTTTTAACATAAGCAAGGCAATCTCATAATTCCTCTCAATTCCCCCAATGTCGACCTGTTTTTTTATCCAGCTACAAAAAAAATTATGAGCAATATAGCTAAAATTGGAGTAAGTTTTCAAACATGTTGTCAGAATGCTCAAAAGTAAGGTGACAGTCCCTAGAAACTCGATTCTTGAGACTCAATTCTCAAAAACTTTGAAGATTGAGATTCGAATTGTGTTTTGAGATGCTCAAAATGAGTTGAAAGCATCTCAAAACGAGGAAGCAAATAATCTTTCACACAGTTAATTTTTCACATGAGAGGAAATTCCTTGTAGGTCACAATTTTTCAAGTACATGCCATTTCATGTGGAATTATTAGTGTTAGAAAACTCAGGTATGTAGTTTCCCAGGATGAGGAAGAAGTTATCACCTCTTCCTGGATCTTCTCTTTCTATATCAATCAACAAACACCACTTGGCAAACTCCCTTAATAGCGGAGCTCGCAGAGCGTAGCCCCATAATTATACAAAATAGTAATAACCCATCAAGCCGAAAAAAATTTGGATGTACAACTGTACAAGGTGCTACTTTTAACATGCGTGGTCAACTGTACTGCAGGCACGCCAATGCCACCGCTTTGTCCAGTAGTCCAGTGGTCAGTGCACTGGGCTCTGAGTCAGATGACCCGGGTTCTAGTCCTGGCCAGGGCAAGGCGTTGTGCCCTTGAGACGTGCGTGGAAAAAAAATGTGAGCTCCGCTTTTAGGCTTGGCTAAATCTACATATTATCATTATTGTTGTGGCATGGCTTGCTTTAGGCCCTGATAGGGCTAAAAGTATTTTTACCACAATTGACAGTAATGTTGCAATCTGATTGGCCAATTTGCCGCCGTCAATAAGAGTAAACACAACGCTGCTTGCATCAACCCAGCATGGTCTGTAGTCTTGTCAACAACAACATTCATCATCACAGTGGTCAAAATTTACTCCAGACTCACTTGCCTGCACCCCATGAGTATGCAACATTTTGACCACTGTGATGACAAATATCATCATCTCTATGAGTAAAGACCACACTAACTCATTGTCAGTTTGTTAATCATTCTACGCAATTCAAACTTCCAGAACAGCTCCAGACCAATTGCACTGAGCTTACCAAGTGAACATGTTCTTGCACAGGTCTAGGTTAAGGGTGTTCAGTTAAAATGTTTTGAAATGTATTGTTAAAGCTAACTCCATCTTTACATGTCCTTGCAAACCTGTATACTGACCTCTTGTAGACATCATATGGAATACACTGACTTCCAAGTGTTTTGATAACATTTGCTTGCATAAAATTCAGTATTTGACCATTGATTTTGTTGGTGAGAACTGGTGAGAGCACCACTGAGACACAAGCCCACAACAAGTCCTGTTGATTGAAAGAATAATTTTAGAGAGTCTAGATCTGCAAAATGAATTGATTATTGGTCTGATGCAAACCACAATGGAGGCCTTACATGTACGTGCCTCAGTTGATATGATCATTGAGTGCTATAATAGCTGATATCTCCATATTAAAGCTTGCTGACTATTGCCTCAGCCTACTGCCGAACCTTTACTGATCAACCATTGATCAACTACATGTATGGATCAACCGCTGATGCCCATTTGTAGCAGTCTACATGTAACACCCAAAAATTGACATGCACTATGACTGGTCAATTGCCCAAGCCATATTTCATTATGGGGCCCACTTAATTCCAAAGTTTGCTAGATTGTAAATCTTCCCCCTTTGTGCTTACACCATAAAGCTGAGCAGAAAACCTGTACCATAACTTACAGTTCAGATCTCAAATTCTGTTATTAAGAGGTAATTATGAACAATGTTAAAAGTTAAATCAGCTATCTAGTTTAGGATAAACATGTCGTTTATGCAGTTGAAGTACAGTACACTGAATTTTCTCTCAGTTGTTGTACATTGTCCTGACAAAATTATCACAAAGGAATCCAAAATACCTTTTTCTTGAACAACTCCAAGGTGTGACTAATTGGAAAGTATGGATAGCAGTTGTTGGTGACATAGAGATTGGCAACAACAGATGCAAACAGTTCCACAACAAATACCTAAGAATGGAATAGCAGTTTAAGTTCATGATTTACACTGTAAACATCATCCTCATTACATCTGACTAATGTGAGAAAATTTTAACTGTTGTTTTATTGCTTTTAAAACAGCCTAATCTTTCAATTTGATTTATCAAGGTCAAAACATGTACAATAAAAAACGTGATGCATGTGCCACGTGATGCATGTGCCACGTGATGCATGTGCCACGTGATACATGAACTTGACTCTTTAGCCCCTGAGAGTGACAAGCATCTAATTTCTCCCCACCATATCAACCCTGCATCAAACATGGAAGTCATGAGAATAGAGGAGATGATCTCTAACTAAAGCAGCTCTTGATTGTTAAACAAATTCTCCTTGCCAGCCTCTTTGGAAATGTACAGAGAACAGTATGGAGAATATAGATACTAATATACATGTAAGGGCATAAAGGGTTAACCCCCAGTGCATGAGTTTATTCCCTTAAGTACACTCAGATCACTAGAGCAATTTTTGTTCCCTTGTTTTCCATTAGTAAATATAAACAATTATATTGTTCCTTAATCAGGGTGTTCATGTAAATCACATAAATCTTTATTTTGAATCTAGGAAAATGTATATGTGTAAGTGTACCTTTAGAGAGACACCTTCAGGGGGTTTGACCTCAAGGTGTGACAGAAACTCCTGTTTAGCTTTGTTTACAATCTCCCCAGCAGCTTTGATTACTTCCTGTGACAGTAAGAATAACACCACTTTCTCAGTCCTTGAACAGCAAATATATTTCTTTCTCTTCTGAAATCATGCGACAGTTTGCAAAATAATCCTTAGGCAAGCTAAAACCCACTAGGTTAAAAAGCTGTCTTGTTGAACAGGCCAATTCAAAAAATATAAGTCTACAGTAGGATGCTACTTTATGTCACCAAAAAAAGATTCCATGGAAATTTGCAGAAAGGCTCCAGATAACAAAATTGATATTACTGTAAACTTCATTCATTTTGTTAGAAGTGCTTAATATTAAATTTTATCTTAAGAATAAATCATCCATCCTGCTATGGTTTCATAAATTATGTAATAACTAATGATAGTAATTAGAAGCAATTAGACCCAGGTTTTTAAGCAGACAACCATAATGTCCAATAGTAGGCATTTTCCACTGAAACACCTGTCACTAATAGAGGTTAATTTACAATACACTTGAGAGGAAACTTTGACCCACCAAGAATGGTGAGCATCTATATGTAAAAAAGTGAAAATTTTAGTACATTGTACTTGTAATAACATACACGAAAAAATTACTCAGTTCTGATTGGTTAAGACAAATGCAGTTTTCAGGTAATTCAATGCAGGAGAGGGTTAATTCAGTGAAAAGAAGTAACAAACCAGACTGAAAAATTCCTTGAACTGTTTAGCCAGACTTTAAACTTTTTTGTGCCTTAAAGATGTAAAAATATCCTTGCATGATGAAATTAGAAGATCCTCGCAGCTAAGAACACTACTGAAACTAGTAGTTGTAAATAGGACCTGAAAAAAATTCAGGTCCTATTTACAACTACTAGTTTCAGTAGTGTTCTTAGCTGCGAGGATCTTCTAATTTCATCTCTCCACCGCAGTGCAAATATGTGAATTTTCATATATCTAAATTCTTCATTCACTTGGATGTTTATTTGTACCCAATTCATTGACTAGCTCCCAGTTGGCTTGTTAGCTCAATTGGTAGAGCGCTACACCGGTATCGCAGAGGTCATGGGTTCAAATCCCGTACGGGCCTGAATTTTTTTTTTCAGGTCCTATTTACAACTACTAGTTTCAGTAGTGTTCTTAGCTGCGAGGATCTTCTAATTTCATCTCTCCACCGCAGTGCAAATATGTGAATTTTCATATATCTAAATTCTACTATATCCTTGCATATTATTGTTTTGATCATACGCTGTTGTTTTGACCAAATGCACAATGTCACATGAAGGGTTTGAATAAATTTTTTAGCACTTGATGTGCATGCTTTGTTTCTGCATAATTATGATAAGCTATCTCATTATAGCACTGTAAATTTTCTCAAAGACCACAAATTGCAATTTTGTTAGTCTTGGAAAAATTTATTTGTGCTTATTTATTCCAAATTACACTCAAAATCATACCATGACCTATAAAAATTTCAAATTTATTACAAAAGTGCACTGGACAATGAAAAAAATTACCATCACTGACCTGATTTTCTTCTGGAGAACACTTGTTGATAATGGATGACTCGCAGAATGTGTTAATAAACCACTCAAAGGCCTGTTCATTGCGAAGATTAGAATTCACTTGCGTTGCTGTCATTATAAATGCTAACACCTTTTTCAGTTTCTCTTCTGGAATGCTGGATGGTGAAGGAATCTTCCCTGCCTCCACAGAACTGTTTTCATTTACCATGGCAATTAAGAGCTTTTTAGTTGTTGCAAAATCAATTATTGCAAGGGTACATTGTGTTAAAGGTGTTGTGCCTCTTGTATCTAAAAGTAAGAGATGACACTGACCTTCTATGTGTAAAAGTGTCTACCCACAGAAAGTAATTAGTATACATAGTTTACTAACTACTCTGTGTAGTTACTGTAAAAAGAAGTCTAAGACCAGTTTCCTCTAACTTGAGATAATTCTTGAAGTAGCAAGAACCAGTACTCAGAATTCTAGGAATATGAAGAGTTTTTTTAACCAACATTGGGACTACAGCATTTAACAATAATTTCCCTTCTGCTTTAAGTGGCAGATCACTAGCCACATCTACATGCAGAGTAACCATCTCTGATGGTGACCCATTGTCAAATTGTTTTGTAGCCAATTTGCTAAAATATTATAATAATACTAGTACATTATCTAGTAGATTATTACAATGAAGATATGCACTCTCACAATACAACTGACCTTTAAAACCTGTGTTGGACAAAATGCTGACAGGAATGTCCCCTGAGACTGGAAAATTCAGCACATTAAGAGCTTGTTCCACTTTCCCTGCCTTTGCTAGTAAAAGCACAAATTTCTTTTTGTAGTGGGTAATGTTTACCACGCACTTTTCAGTAGTGGAGGGTACAGCACCTCCAAAGCCATAATAAGAAGCACTGTGGTTCTTTTCCAATGTCTTACAACTCAGCATGTAAGATAATGCATCAGAAAACCTGGCATTTGAGAGAACATGCACCATGCTTAGAGTTACAATGTAGCTAATGTATTCTCAGAATTAAATATTTTCATTTCATGTCTGACAACTTAACACATACAGATAGCCCATCAGAAAACCGGGTATTTGAGAGAACAAGCACCACTCTTATATTTACAATGTAGTTATTCTCAGAATTTATTATTTTCAGTTCATGTCTTACAACTCGACATGTATGATAACGCATCAGGAAACCCAGTATTTGAGAGGATAAGTACGTACCACTCTAACTTACAATTACAATTACTATTCTCAGAATAAATTGTTTTTAGTTCTACATGGTTTATCCTCCTTCTCCAAGAAGACTAGAATGTCTAACCAGTTGGGGATGCCATAGCAAAAGCAGCACATTTTTCTCAGTTATTTTAGGACCCTGGCTATTGGTCCAGACAAGGACTTCACCCTTTCACTCCCAAGACCACATGAGTAATTCTCCTTACTGTCTGCTATACAACTGTTATGATATTAGTTTGGAGAATTTGATATTGGATCAGCTAATAACCCATAACTGATATTTTTCTCTATTCTCATCACTTGTCTGCTTGATATTGTATGAATAATGTAGGGAGAAATTCTGTCTTGGTCACTTGTGGGAGTTAAAGGGTTACACCATCAACCTCCCACATATACAATCGCAGTCTGACACTCTACAACATGAGCTAACTTGAAGTGCAGAGATTTCTGTGCAGCACTTTAACATCAATTTTTTTTTCACTCATGCAATAAACTTTGTGAGAAAGAAGGGACTGCTTATAGCCTTGTAGACTAGTGGGCTGACTGACAGACAGACGTTGGAAAAACCAAAACGAAAATGTCTGGCCGGGCAAGAGCCTGAATACAGCCTCCCATTTGAACCAGGCATGAGACTTACATCAACCAGAAAAGAGCCGAACCAGACAGAGCAGAAAAGAGCCTAACAAGAACCAGACATAGTGTGGAAAATGAGGAGAAATCAACCTTGCAAGAGCCAGATACAAAAAAATAATCATACAGAACGAGAAACGATCCTGACAAGAACCATACACTAGGCTGATACTCAGGCTAACAAAAGCAGTAATTCAGCCTGACAAGAGCCAGGTAAGAAGAAAACAGTCAGAACGGGAAATCAAGCCTGAACAAGCCAGAAATTAGCCTAACTGTACAATGACATAGTTATAATGTTGCTAAATTTGTATTCAGCTCTGTCGGGCTCCAAATTTTTGTATGAGAAAAGACTGTGCAGCATACAGACACAGAGCCACACAGACAGACAGATGGACAGAATACCCAAAAGACACAACAAATTTGTATTTAAAATGTACCTTTGGTTCTTTTCCAGGAAGGATAGTCGAGCTTCAACCACTTCCTCATCTTCTCTCATGAAGCTCTTTAATTTCCCATTGAAACATCTAAGAAGTAAAGTATCATCCCATTTCCTCATTTCAAGAATCCTAAAATAAACCATACTCAAAAGATTAATAACACAACACCTGGTGTATGGACATATAGCATCATAGACCTTACTCTAAAATTGCAACAGCTTTATGATCCTATGATAGAAATGCTACTCCAGCCTGTAATTGGCCCTTTTCACATTAATCACACCTTAAGAGCCCAAAAACAAGTACTTCCATAAAAAAGGCAATCAGGGCTAATTTAGAAGGACAAAAAAGAGTAAGTAACATATTTATCATTAGTTTAGAGTATATGTAACTTGTAAGGAAGTACAGAAAAGTCTTCCAGTACATGTACATGTAATATATAGATTTAGCTAAGCCTAAAAGCAGAGTTCTCATTTTTTTTTTCCCCGCATGTCTCAAGGGCACAATGCCTTGCCCCAGCCAGGACTAGAACCTGGGTCGTACGACTTGGAGCCCAGTGCACTGACCACTGGACTACTAGACAAAGTCGTGGCATTGGCATGCCCACAGTACAGTTGACCACACATGTTAAAAGTAGCACCTTGTACGGCCATACAGTCGTACATCCAAATTTTTTTGGCTTGATGGGTTACTACAAGTCTCTATCATATTGACTAGATCACAAACTACTCTCCTGCAAAAATATGGACTCACACATTGAGGCCTGTGCTCTCTGGTGAGCAAATCTGAGCCCCATCAACAGCATTCTTTAAACGTTCCCTAACTTTTTCTTCAATATTTTTAGGCAAGTCAGGATGCATAAACACTTGAATCCAAGCCTTCTGCAGCCTAAGAAAATGGAGCAGAATGCAGAGTAAAAAATAATGATAAATTAAAGGCATTCAAGTATTGCCAGACATCCTCAAGCTCTTAAAAACTTCTTCAGTAAACTGCTGCAAACAAGAATTATCATTGTTTAAATTATCAAAATGGTTATCTTTCAAAGCAGCTGAATACCTTTTAATCGCTGTCATAACTTGGCTTGATGGGAACCTTTGGAGGAAAGCAACAAACACTTCATTTACATCAACTGATACAAATTATAAAGTCAGATAATGTGAAATGGGATATTTTTAATTATATCAGTGATAAAGAAAACTGATGCCAGATTCCCTGGGAAAACAGATTTTCTAGTAGTGATAGTACCTTTCCATGCTTACTTATGAGGGTTCAAATTTTCCCAGACATGGAGAAGATACAAAAAAATATTCCCCTTATTGTTCAAATTCTAATTTATCCAGCTTAACCCTTTCACTCCCATGAGTGACCAAGACAGAATTTCTCCTTACAATATCAATACAATATCAACCAGATAAGTGATGAGAATAGAAGAAAATGTCAATTTGGGGATAATAAGTTGATCCAATAATAAATTCTCTTAACTCACATTATAAGAATTGTATGGTTGGCAGTTAGGAGAATTACAAATTTGATCTGGGAGTTAAAGGGTTAAACCTTTACATTCTAACATTAGTGTGCATATTCCTAAGGTGCTGACAAGGAGAAATGGTTTTAAAATCAATAATTTCTTTAGTTAGAAATCATTTCCTTTATTCTCATGACCAAAATGTTTGATTCAGGGGTGATGCTGTGAGGAGAAGTTACATACTAGTCACTCTTAGGAGACAAAGGGTTTGACATGCGCACTATAAACAGCAGTGTACATCTATAAAGTTTGGTTTACACATACCTCTCACTGTCTGCTGGTAAAAGAACAACTGTTAAAGCATCAAGCACAATAGCTGCTGGTCCAGGCTGGTTATCATCAAGAAAGTCTCTGGCTTTTTTCACTGTACTCTCAACGTTGTCAATTAGATTAAAGTCAAACCTTTCAAGAAAAAAATCACAAATACAATCACAAATGAAAAATTTAAAATAGTAACTTTGTTAATATTATATGTATCTATTGCAGTTTTATACCTAATTCTTACTAACCCTTTAACTCCCAGAAGTGATCAACATGTAAATTCTCCCTATAATATCCATACATTATCCAGCAAACATGTAGTGAGAGTACTCACACTCATCAGCTACAAGATAGTACCTTGATCGAATACCAAATTCTTGTAACCAATTTACAAAGAAATGTGTAGCAGCTAGAGGGGAGAATTAACAATCAGATCTTGGGAGTTAAAGGGTTAATGTTCTTTTGACATTCTTTGTTAAACGATCACCACACAATCCCACATCATGTCCAATCACTGAAAACTGTAACATACACATCGTCATGCTATTCATATGTGGACTTATGTGGATTCCATGTCAATCCTTCTTAGCTTCATAAAATCTCTAAAAAATGCCAATCACATTATACCAAGTGCATGTAGGAAGAGGTTCTTGAATACTTCATAAGTTACAACTTAAAATTCATTTATTTCATATTGTCATGATATAACTGGATCTTGCATTGTACAATCCAGGATGAGATAAAGTTAGTTATTTCTTGATTTCATTTCTATACAAGAACAAAATAACCTCAACAGTTAAAGCACAGCTAAAGGAATTTCAGGGAAAAAACTGGAAAAGTTTGGTTTAAGGTGACATTTAAGCCTGTGGTGCCTCTCAAGTGACATTTAGACGAGCAACATGTACCAAGCCAATTGTTTGAAAAGAGGCAAATTTTAGTGCCTCGTTAACCCTTTAACTCCTTGATCAAATTTGCAATTCTCCTTACTGTCAATCATACAATTCATATAATGTTAGTTTAGAGAATTTAGTATTGAATCAACTATCTCCAAATTGATATTTTTCTTTATTCTCATCACCTGTCTGGTTGATATTGTATTGATATTGTAAAGAGAAATTCTGTTTTGGTTACTTATGGGAGTCAAAGGGTTAAGAAATCTGTAAACTGTACCTTGACAGATGCATTCCACCAAAAGACCAATATCCACCAAAACTGCACGATCTTTCTTCATGGTAGTCATAACACTCCTCACACCCTTGGCTGTCATAACTTCCACAACTGTCATAATGACAATCACAATCACAACTGGGACTGGACGACCTTGAACTATAGCCACTTGATGAGTCTGAAAGTTTGTCTTTCAGGTTCTCTAAGAGTTCTGTGACCATTTCCGCTATGATGTAAACAAAATAAATATCATCTAGATTTTACCACATATACACTATAGTCTTTGACATTTGCAAAGCTTTAAGGAAAAGACAACTAATCCAGACACAATAAGCAGAAAAGGAATAACCGAGAAAGTAAGGGTGGATAATTGTGCACAGATGTAAGTGTTACACACTCAAATCACCAGATTAATTAAACACAAGGTTGTATTTATTCGAAAAACTCCGAGCACATGCTTTTCTCTTTTTTTTCCCGACACCCTTTGTGGTTCATGAACTCAACAAAACATGTCACGCACTCTACACACTTCCCCGCCGAAAATGAAAGTGTTCTTCTAAATATTACAAAACTATTTATCAGAGTTCTCTGCAGCTACTGTAATTGTTGTTTGACGTTGTCTCCTTCAGCACCTTGCGTGCTTTTGATTTTCTTTTTTTTTTTTTTTTATGTTTGGGTCTTATAAGAGGCTCCTCTCAAGCCCTCGGGTAGTAGACAGGTTGGAAACAGCATGGCCACACCCAGAAATACAGGGGTATTCCCGGATGAATAGCTGTGATAGCTGGAGTTTGAATGGCGTTAACGCGTGAACTGCTGAATACTGGCTCAGCCGACTGGTACTGTGGATTTCCCAGGGAGTTGTAAGTTAAGATCTGCGGCGGTCTCCTTTGGCGCTGCGGCCGAGTCCACATGTCCTGCTCAGCAATGTCCTCTCCCCCTGATCCGTCATTGTCAGCACTTCCTTCATTTGCAAGTTGTATTTCGCTGGATGGCCCATTGGTGCCCTCAGTAGTCGCAGAATCCTCAATTGACTCTGAAGGCAAATCGCGTCCTGGAGACACTGAGTTTGAAGTTCTTACTTCAGTAGGTATTTCCTCTACAAGGTCCACACTACCGAAATCATCATCATCTTTCCCCGAATTCTGTAGGTCATTTCCCGAAACAGACAAAGGTCGTTTCTCTACTGCTGTTTTTGGGGGTCGCGTACCAAATCCCAGGTTTGGGGCATCTGCTTCCAAAGCGTCACAAGGCAGTAGTAAATTCCGGTGAAGCACTCTTGCGCGGCCACCTCCATTCTCGGGCTTAACTTTGTAGACTGGGCTTTGAGCCCCCATTCGTTCAACCACAACGTGGATAGCGCACTCCCAATGGGATCGTAATTTTCCGGGTCCACCGCGCTCTGTTAAGTTTCTAACTAGCACCCGATCGCCTGGCTGAAGAACGCCACCTGAGACTCTCTTGTTGTAATATTGCTTGCCGCGCTCGGCAGTCTTCTTTGCATTCTGTTGAGCTATCCGGTATGCCTCCTTCATATCATGCTGCCAGTTTTGGACGTAAGTGTTATAATCTCCCTCTGCACTCTCTTGATTCAAATTGAAAATCAGGTCGATGGGCAGGCGGGGTGTTCTTCCAAACAACAAGTAATACGGAGCGTATCCTGTCGCCTCATGCTTAGTGCAATTGTACGCGTGGATCATCTTGTTGAGTGATTCATCCCACTTTCGTTTCTTCAAATCTGGGAGTGTTCGCAGCATAGACAATAGCGTGCGGTTCATCCTCTCCACTTGCCCATTCCCTTGAGGGTGGTAGGGGCTGGTGCGAGACTTGGAAACGCCAGACAACTTATGTAGTTGATGGAAGAGATTGTTCTCAAATTCTCCTCCTTGATCACTGTGTATACGGGCTGGGAATCCGAATCGTGGTACAAAGTCATTGTAAATCTTTTCAGCCACCGTTCGTGCTGTCTTGTTTCGGGTTGGGTAGGCCTGTGCAAACCTTGTGAAGTGATCTACTATCAGCAAAATATATTCAAATCCCCGTTGGCTTTTCTCCAAATGAAGAAAGTCTATAGACACCATCTCAAAAGGGGCAGTCGTCGTAATGCTCTCCATTGGTGCTCTAGGGGAGATTTGGGGCTTCTTTTGCTGGATGCAGTGACACTTGTTGGCGATGAAATACTCGATTTCCTCTTGCATGTAAGGCCAATAGAACCTAGATCTCGCTAAGTCCACCACTCGATCTGCACCCAGATGACCCATTTCAATGTGAAGTTCTTGGTAAACCAACTGTTTAAACTTTGTAGGTAATACTAGCTGCAATCGACTCTTAATTTGGCGCCACAGGATCCCGTCCGCTGATATATGGAGTTTATTCCATGCTCTCAAGTAGCAAGATGTTGTACGAGTCTCATTTTTCCGCTCTCCTCCTGATGGGGGATATCCCCGTTTCTTGTAGGCCAGGATTCGTGAGATGTCGGGGTCTTCCCGTTGAGCCCTTAATATTTCTTCTAACGTAAGTTGGCGAAAAACCAAATCTGTGACGCCCGGTTCTGCGTGAGCAATGCCAACTCTTGCTGAAACTGCTGCCACCCAGGGTGTGGCGTCTGTTTCCTGATGGATCACTGCTTGACTTGTTGCACAAATTGCGTCCTTTTCCATTTCTGCCATACAGGTTTCCATGTATGCACTGAAATCTAGCGGTAGGCGGGATAGTACATCCGCGTCAATGTTAGATTTGCCAGGCCGATACTTGATGTTAAAATTAAAATCTGCCAGTTCTGCCACCCACCGGTGCCCTACTGCAGACAACTTAGCTGACGACAGAATGTAAGTTAGTGGATTGTTGTCGGTGTAAACAGTGAAGAAGGTGGAGTAGTACAAGTAATCACGGAACTTCTCAGTTACTGCCCATTTGAGGGCAAGGAACTCCAATTTTCCCGCGTGCATGTGGTAATTTTTCTCTGCTGGAGTTAGTGTCCTAGAGGCATAACCTAGAACTCTGAGCTTCCCGTCCTGTTCTTGATACAATACAGCTCCAAGTCCCTCTTGCGAGGCGTCTGTGTGAAGTACAAATGGCTTCGTAAAGTCGGGAAATGCCATCACTGGAGGAGAAGTCAGTCGGTCGACCAGCATGTCAAGCCGCTTCTGATGTTCCTCTGTCCATGTTACCTTATGATTATTAGCCAATCGATCAGGGCCAGCCATTAGATCGTACAGGGGCTTAGCTATGCGTGAGAAATCCTGGATGTATTGCCTGTAGTAACTCAGGAACCCTAGCAGTTTACGCACATCACCCACTGTTGCTGGTTTCTGTTTCGCCAAGTTGTGTACGGCAGCCGTGTCCTCTGGGTCTAGAGAGTAGCCATCGCCGGAAACAACCCGCCCCAAATATCTAACTTGTCGTTGGAAGAACTTGCACTTTGATGGCTTTAACTTTATCCCATGTTCCTGCAGTCGACGCAGGACTTGTTGGACATCCTGAACGTGTTGCTCAAAGGTCTTACTATACACCAAGACATCATCCAGGTAGGGAATACAGATGTTGTCACGTAAGCCATCTAGACATTCATTCATGCACCTTTGGAATGCCGCCGGTGCATTCATTAGCCCAAACGGTATTCTATTCCATTGATACAATCCCCAGGGGGTCACGAATGCAGTCAGGGGGCGGCTTTCTTCTGTCATAAAGCCTTGGTGGTAGGCCTTCCCTTGGTCCAGAACTGTAAACCATTTGTTGCCGCCTAGGCCATTTAAGATATCCTGTATACGGGGAATCGGCTGTCGTTCTGGATATGTTTTCTTGTTCAATTCTCGATAATCAATACAAAGTCGCAGACTTCCATCCTTTTTGCGAACACAGACCATGGGTGAGGAGTAAGCCGAACGGGACTTGCAGATCCAATTTCGATTAATCAAGTCTTCTAAGTACTCTTTCACTTCCCCATAGAGTGGCTTGGGGATGGAGATATAGTTCTTCTGTACTGGCTCATTGTCCTTTAACTGGATATCAAGCACCAAGTTCTCCACGCAGCCAACCTCATCGTCGTTTCTTGCAAAGGCACCAGCTTCTTGCCGTAGCATTTCGTGGACGATCAATTGTTCATTGTCTTCTAGCTGACTCAAGTCAACTGGTGGCTCCCATCCATCTTGTTCCTGACCAGGATGCAAGGTAGCTTCAGGGTAAAAATTCTCGTCTCCTCGAGAGTACGAGTCGGGAGTATTTAGAATTGGTAGAACTGACTTTACCAGGTGTATCCGGCCCAATTCTGTTCTGCGCTTTAACAAGATGTTTCTGTCTGTATTGTTTTGGACCACGACGGCCACGTGACTAGAGGTTCCCGGGGTTATTTTAGTAAGTTCCTCGCCCAATTCCAGTCCGTCTGGGAGCTCGCTGTCTTCCTTGGGCTCAAATATTACTGGCATCCCCTCTGGAACTGGTCCGAGGTGAGTTTGACACTTAACTGTCGTTGCCTCTCCTTTTGGCAGCATAACATCTCTCTTTCCGACTTTAACAGCTGCAGTACCGGTATCCTGTGTTCTTGACTGGATCAGATTGATCAGGGTACCTACGCGAGTATGATGAATTGAAGGGAATGACTGCTGAATGATGTTACTTGCCGCTTGGTGGTTTCCACCATGTTGAGCGAGGACTTCTTCTATAACATTGAAGCCAATGATTGGGTACTCTTGTTCCTTTTGTCCCACCAGTACTGGAACTGTCAGCTCATGAGCAGTTGTATCATCTCCAGCCAACTTAAACCCGACCTCAATCCAACCGTCAAATGGAATGTTTGTCCCATTCATCGCTTCCAAATTCAACTCTTCTCCTGCTCCCAACAACTCTTCAACATTTCTTAACACCTCCAGCGGTAAGTGAGTTTGTTGCCACTTCCTTGACACAACACAAACCTGGGAACCTGTATCCCATAATGCCTCCACTTCCTTTCCTTGAATTAGGCATTTTACCACGCACCTCCGTCCCACGATTTTCGTCAGTCCGAGCTGCTGCCTTGGCGTCAGGTGGCAGGGAAACGTCGTGTTCAAATCATCGCCATCATCTCCGGCTGCTTTCTGTTTCTCAAGTTCCTGTATAGCCATGCAAACTGGTTTATGCACAGTTCTGTATTTTACTTGACATTCTTTTGAATAATATCTATTGATCTTACAGGCTCCGCAGCGGTTAAGTGGTACATGGTCTGTGCTTTGTTTTCCACACTGCACGTAACGGGACTGATTTTCTTGCCTGGTCACACCCTGTCCCCATGGGCGTGACCTCTGGCCGTTTCCCTGAAATTCTGCCGAAGAGCGTCGGCTGAATTGGGCATTACACTCGCGTACATAATGGCCACTCGCCCCACACCTGAAGCAATGGTTGCACGGCCATCCATTCCCACTTTGTTGGCAGGTCCTACACAGTGGGGGTTGTCTCATAGGCTGTTGTGTGAGGGGGTTTGAGCCCGGAGTGGGGCCCGAACTCTCTCTTTGACTGCGGCCACTTCTGCCTTGAGCTCCCTTAGTTCTTTCATGAGACCTTCCTCCACCCCATTATTCTTTGTCTCCTGCTTGTCCCCTCCCTTTTGAACAGCATTTACCTTGGGGGTTAGCTGTGAACCGAATTTCTGTGATCGCTCCAGTTCGTCACTGAAACACACATTTAATTTCTCGAATAGTTCTTCATCGCTTATAAATTTCTTTTCCAAGTAAGGCTTCATTTCGATCTTGATATTCTCACTTTGAAGGCCAAGGGAAAAGCTATGGACAAACATGCCATGTACTAAGGTAGGATCATATTTCAGGTCCGAGTCAGTTTCTTGAGATGCAAACAAGATCTTCTGTTTCAAATCGAGAAGGCGGATCAAGAATTCTTGAGGTTTTTCCTTTGGCTGTTGGACAGTTGAGCTCAACTGATGATATAGTTCGGTTGCTGTTCTCTCCTGATAATGAGAACGCATAATTCTCCTCAATTTGGCCAGTGTTAAATCTACCTTACCCTCCAAATAACTTCTTAGGCTTAACGCCGGATTTATCGCTTTTATCACAGCCTCTTTAATTTCATCCTCTGTATAGTCGTTCTTTAAACCATTCTCAATTTGATGCACTAGCGAGGAAAAACTCAAACGATCCTTCTGCGACGCGTCGCCAATCTGGCCCGAAATCTTGAAGTCGCGTTTGAATTTTGAAATTGACACCACGGGATTTTGCTCTATTTTGGCGGTCGCTTTATTATTTTCAGAAGCTTTCGGCGGTTCCGTTTTCTGTTCCGGTACAAATTTTCCCTGCATACTTAGAGACGACGACAACACTTTTAGCTTCTCATTATCTAATTCTTCCGTTTCGAGGTATTTATTTAGAGCTCGGATAAAAACCAACCTTCCCTTGCTCTCAGGCGGTACAGTAATGTTCAGCCCACTACAAACTTCTTTAAGCCTTTCCTCGCTCAAGGAACACAACGCGGCCTGAATTTCGATCTGCAGACTCTCGGTATCCATCATACTTCCAAAAATAATCTTTCGTACTCACCAATAGTGCAATCAGCCGTTCACAAAAGAAATGCGACACTTTACGTCAAGATCAGTCCGCCGTCGACAGCAATCGACCACAACCAACTCGCGCTCGACGAATCAACCAAGCGTGCCAATTACTTTGTCCTTCACAACCCAAGGCAGTTCTTCGTCGATGATAAGCCTCTTCGGTCGAGTCCTGGCGGGGTCGCCAATGTTACACACTCAAATCACCAGATTAATTAAACACAAGGTTGTATTTATTCGAAAAACTCCGAGCACATGCTTTTCTCTTTTTTTTCCCGACACCCTTTGTGGTTCATGAACTCAACGAAACATGTCACGCACTCTACATAAGTGGCTGAAGGGAGGGGAGAAAAATAGAGGAGAGAAAAAAGGAAGAAAGAGAGGGAAAGAGACAGGGGTTGAGGAGACAAAGCAAATGGAAAAGACCAGGAAGGAAAAGGAGAAAGATGCATGTATGTTTTAAGGTGAGATAAAGAGAGGATATAAAGAAATTTAAAATAAACAAGCAGGAAGAAGACTTAAGGGAAACTCTAGGGGAAGAAAACAGGGATTGAAAGGGAGAGTAGACAATCACACAGAAAAGAACATTTGAAAGGGGATATTTACTTACATGCATACTTATGTACATGTACCTGCTGTATTGGCAGAGAAAGAGCAGAAAAAAGAAAAAAGAAAGGAAAGGACATGATGAACATGAAAGACAAAAGAGGGGATAAAAAGGAGGATAAAGACATTAAGATTAAACATTAAGCTCTAACAGACAAGTATGAGCAACAATACCTACCTGCTTCTAGCAATAACTTTGATTGCTCATTAGCAGGCAAACACTTCAGCAATGAATCCTGTACAGAGCTCTGCAAATAATGATACAGTTCTAATATTAGACAGTGGGAAGTTTATATTAATAATTAACCCTACACACAATCAATTAAAATATCTGTGCAAGCTATAAACTAGTAATTAATCTTCAATTGGTGGAAACAAATTGGATACTGTATGTAAGCTACATGCACAGTGTATGTTAAGTAATAAGACAAAAACTTCAAGCAAAAACTTTTTTTAAAAATTACTTTTCAGCTTTAGAAGATGGTTGCTCAAGGGGTTGCTACTTTCTACAATAGGCTCTTGTTGCTTAATTTAGTAGTATGAGAATTCCTTCCTGGGTACAAAATAAATTAGAATAATTCTTTGGGAAAAAGATTTAATGCAATTCAAGCATCTAATTCTTGTGACCTGCTATATGTGTAAATATTAATCAACATTGAACCAAAAATAAATATTACCACACAATGTTGCACAACACTTCAGTTAAACATACCACTTTTCTCTTTGCCATCTTTCGAAGTTTTTCCCAAAACGCATTCTTAGAGTATGCATTGCAATGAGGATTAGTGCCAGTCTTCCAGGAATTACACTACCAATGTGAGAAAACAAAGGAAAAATTTTTTATGTGATACAATAAACGAAGCAATTATCTGCCCAGATGTTACCATAACTGACCACAACATTTAAACACTGCATTTTGTACTCTCAAGTCTTTTCAAGTTCCAGACCCATCTGTGGGTTGGAGAGAAATTTTACAATGCAGGTGTTCCACAGACGAGCCATTTAGAAGCTATACTCATCTGCTCAGAATTTCTGTTTCTTAGACAATTGGACATAGGTTGGCATACTCTTAACCAATGCATTTCCCTAGGACTTTGTTCAAATTACATTTCTATGTATAAAGCAGAAAATAACTCACCTCTTTCACATTAGCATCACATACATAACAATAGCACTGCTCACAATAGTTCTCATTACATGATACTGTTGCTGTAGTTACATTGCTCTGAACAAACTTGTGAGCTGTACAGTTTTCCCTGGCATGTGGTAGGTTTGTACCAGGTTTGTAGTAAGTAATGGCTAGGTCTTTTTTAGCCTGGTTATCTTGGTCACCAATCCTATGAGCTTTCTTTTCATGGTCAATTTTCAATCTCTTTCTGGGAGAATAGTCCTCAGGCAAAATAAATATGATGTCATCATCTTCACTGTTGTCACCAACACAAATAAGAGGTATGTGTTTTTCAGACGTTTCCAACTTGACTTCAAGTTCATGACGTTGTTCTTCTGTTAGCTGTTCCTCAAGTTCTGCAACCCTTTCAGAAAGTACTTGTTTCTCTTTTTCACAAAATTCAAGCTGCAAAGAAGTGAAAATCAGGATTGAAGCCTTTTACAAACAAATACAAGAAATGGTACTTTAACCCTTTACATCCAAACGTCAGTATGCATATTCTCCAAACTGTTCTCTATACATTATTTAAGGTACTGATATGGAGAATCTGTATAACAATCAAGAGCTTCTTTAGTTGGTGATCATTTTCCTTATTCTTGTAACCTTAATAAGTAATTCAAGGGTGATACAGTAAGGAGAAATTAGATGCTTATCACTTTTAGAGTGTAAAGGGTTAACCAAGAATGTCATATTTGCATGTCTTTTTTTAAGGCTGTATTGAAAACTGCACTTTCAATTTGCCAAAGTTCCAAGCAATACCCCTTTCCCTCACTCAACTTTGAACCTTAACAGAAGAGCAAATCCAATACTGTTCTGGAAAAGAAACAGGTCAAAGTTAGATCAAAGAGATAAAAAGGATGCTGTCTAGTCAAGAATATTGCAATCTAAATGGCAGTGTTAAACTGTTTTGCCTCCCATCACAGCTTCAAATTCAAGGTTACTAGATACTCTTTCTGTTGCTATCCTGAGTTTCAATGGTACTTGATACAGTCAAACCTTGATTTTCCAAACCTTGATTGTCCTGATTTTTTTATTATCAAGACTTACATCCTTGGTCCTACTTTTGATGACTATTTACTAGTCACATTTGAGATACATAAAAACTAATTTTCATAAAACAAAGTAAATGTAATGAAACTCCCATCAAAACTAAATTTGTTCTGTTTTCTGTAGAACATTGTTTGTTAACTTCAAAACTTTTGCAAATATTTTTCACAAATATTAACAACAAAAGGCACTGGTTTGAGAGCGTGCTTTAATTCTGATATAATATTGATTTATTGATAAGGCAATAAGTACATGTATTCAGTTTTATTTTTGGTTCATTACTATTCATGTGTTTTATTCTCCAGACTCTCAATTATTTAAAACACTCAGCCCAGTCCCCATCGGTCTGAAAAATTGAGATTTGACTGTACTCACTTGAAAGTGCTGGATGTCAAAAGAGAACACAAAACAGTGAAAAGATGTATGTTGCATTGCATTCATGTATTGTAAAGCACAAAGGCATGATATGTACATGTAACACTATCAGTTTCTACATGTAACCAGTTATAACATCTGGTCTTCCACCTTATATTAACCCTTTAACTCCCAAGATCTGATTGTCAATTCTCCCCTCCAGCTGCTACACATTTCCTTGTAAATAAGTTAGGAGAATTTGGTATCAGATAAAGATAACTACTTCAACCTGATAAGTTCAAATATTCTCATGACCTGTTTGCTAGATAATGTTCAAATATTATAGGGAGAAGTTACTAGTTAATCACATCTGGGAGTAAAAGAGTTAAGGGTACAAAAATAACAGATAAAAGACAATATACACAAAGTTATCATAACTTACCCTCCTTCTTAGCTGAGCTAATTTGTGGAGAATATTTTCGTCACTACAGAGAATAATTGCATCTTTTGGTGGTGACTCTTCTCGTTTACGTTTCTTCCTAGGCAAAGAAGAACGGCATACCTGAAAAGAAACTGATAAAATGAGCAAAATACTAAATACTAGTATCACCACTACATTTTTACTGGAGAGTCTGAGTGACTACAGGTCTAGGGAGAAGAGGAATACCATCTCCTTATCCATGGTGAAAGTTGGCCATACCACCAACACAAAGTTCATTTTAATTTTTTCGTGATAAATGTCACGATTTAGGAACAAAATAGGTTTCACTTCCTTCTTTTTAATATTTAATCATAATTAAATAAGTTATAAAAAATTAATAAAGTTATTATTCCCCTCTGGCATCAGTTACACACGAAAAGCTTTTAAAGAAAATAAAGAGACTCAGAGGTAGCTTACACAATCACCCTTGATGGTTGAGAAATATCATGTACGTTTGAATAAGAACGATGATTTAAAATTGAACAAGAGATCACAAATCCTGCGCGCCTTGAGGCAGATCCGCCAAAAAAAATATATCTCACGCCGAAGCGCAATAAATATACATATCATTGCATCAACATCAAACCAGGGATCAATATCTTTCGCACATCAATTAATCGTTTTCTTGAAAAAACAAATAACTGCAGATATTACTACAAGTTACGTAAATCCTCCCTGCATGACAGATCGATGCGCTTTGAAAAAAAAATAGTTTAATTTGCAAATGATCTTCCGATACTTCGCCCAGAGATGGTTAACTTCACCGAGTAAGGTTGTTTAAGGCATCATCATAATTCCACTCTAATGTAAGAATAGACAATTAAGGTTAGACTATGTCTATAAACACGTACCGTAACCTCCACCACCTGAATTTCGTCGTCGTCCTCCATCTTGGATTCATTTATGTCATGTGATGTTTTAGGATTGGCGCCAATCGTCGCTTACATTCGATTGGTTTGTGTTCAGTCGACCATCCCCTCCCTACTTAGTTTTATTTTCTTCGGGGGGGGGGGGCAATCTTGCACGAAATAGTTTGTCGTTTAGTGTCGCCGATCTGATCTTTTCGGCCGCGTTATCTTTTAATTCATAAACTGTGACTGTATCTCAGTTTGTTTCGAGTTCAATTTTAAGTACTTTGGGTTTTTTTTTCTGTCTCTGGTCTTATGTATGAAACGATCAGCGGATATCTAATAAGCTCCCCACCCTTCTCTCAATCTCCTCCAGCTTTTCTTGTTCAAGGGTTGCTGATGCAATGTATTATGGCTACTCTTTAGGACGGAAGCATGCTGCAGATACATTGATTAATATGTCCTCTCCCCTTTTTGAAGCTTAGGAATTTTTGGAGGCACTTGGGTAATTTTTAGAAATAATTTTCCATATTTTGATCCAAGTATATCTGTTTGAGGGAAGGCTGTACTCGGTATCTTCCTTATGCATTAATTTGGTATTGTATGGTTTTGTCTTAGTGATGCCTTCGGGCTATGGCTAGACATCGAAAAAGTCACTCTACGTCATCTTAAGGGCCTGCTTGGACTGGAGATATCGCGATCCCTGCTCCAGACACACCTGGTGATTTTCCCTGACTGCTGTGACAAGCATCTAAAATTGCTAGGTGACTAGCAGTAGATGTCCCATATTGTGCCAATCTAGCCTAGTTGAAAAGCTTTTCTAAACTCGACTGATCTAAGGTATTCAGTTATGTGATACATATACAAGCCATTGAGAGGCAAACTATGCACGGCCAACAATAAGATCATTATGATATTTTTTTTTAATACACAACCAAGTACGTTGTGAAAATTAAACTTACTTCAGAAACTTGGAAGAAAATCTTGAACTAAGAGTTTGATTAATGATTGGTGTGCAAAGACCTAGTCAGCACTGAAACCAATTTCCAGCATTTTATTAATTTCGGTTGTGAGATGTACAACCTGTACCTTTAAATGTAAGGTCAACTAACCAAATGAAGTTAAAATAATTGAACGTTTATATTGCTTTAGATTGAGAACCTATTTCTTAGTGAGGGAAGCTACTGTTCTATATTTTTCTTAGTTCCCATCAAATGTTTTTAAACAGGTTAGTACAGTGTATGTTACTATCCTGAATAGAAATTACTGTCAACACATTTACCAGTGCCAAAGTATGCTACAGTTATATCTTGCAATTTTTACATTTGATGGGATTAATTTGCAAAAAAAAAGCTTACTAAATCTGCACAAAAAAGGAGGAAATTATGTTTGTGACCATGTTTCAGACTTCAATTTTCTCTGTCTCCAAGATACACCATGAGCTGCAATTTTAGTCTGCTTGTTGGCTTGATGTTTGTTCTGTCAGTGTTAATTTTCAGTCTTTGTTTGTCTTTGGACTTGGCAATTTTGCCCTGTATTAGGTAACTACCTAATTATTAGCAGATTAGATTACAGTAAGCAGGGGTTTCAAAATGTTTTGAAGTAGGCATCAGATGACAAAAGTAGATGACTGTGAAAAGTTCATTTAGGGCTAAAAAGTAATTGTTTTGACCAATGTGACTGGGAAAATGTTTTTAAGTAGCTGGCAGAACTCTGGCGAGTAAGCCTGAACCTCAGAACATTTTGAGAAAATTAGCTTCCTAATCTACCATGCAATAAACATTGTATTTTTATACTGTTTTCAGGATATAAACCCTACGTCATATCAAGGGATGAAGAACCAGTTGAGATGCAGAATGCATTTGGTGAGGTGATTCCAGTTCCAGGACACTGGCGTGTTTTGTTTGACACTGGCAATGAAGCAGGCACAGGCATATCCAGAGAGCTTCTGTGGGAGTTAAACCTGCAACCTGATCCCAACAAGAAAAAGAAAGCTAAAGTAATAGGAGAGTTACGCCAGTTTGAAACCGTACAAATTGTGCTCATAATTCGAGGACACAATTTTAAAGTGTGTGCATTGGTTGATGCCGTGGCTGAGGATACTAATCTCCTTGTGGGAATGGATATCATTCAGCAGCTACATGATCTAGGGTATACTATTGGTAACTAACCTATGGTACATTTTAGGAATTTCTAAAATGATGAATGTCCTTTGCAGCAAACTTGCAATCAATGTGAAGGTTGTCTATTGATGCACATGTGCATCAGATCATTTTGCTGAACATGGGATTTTCAATATTTTTTTGTTGTAAGGTCTATTTTTGTCATTTACAGTACATCATACTGAACAGTAGTGATTTTTATTGAGAATTTATTTTTTGTACAGTGTCAACCATCATATTGATGTAAAATGTATTGCACATTTGGGAAATGGAATCAAATTCCAAGAATTTTAAAGAACTTATGTTCTGATGATAGTTATAGTTTTATAATTAGGCTTTTAAAACTCTCTTGTTGAGGGTTTGAATCAAACAGGCATGATTCCTGGCTTATAAAACCCAATCAGGAATAGGTTTTGGGAACCATACATTCAAGTAATTATTTCTATGCTGTCTTACCATCTTACTTCAGAACCGATTCTTTGGGTGTTATGCATTCTGCATTATGTCATATATATAATACCTATCATGCTTGTTGTCATCGTTGTTGTCATCATCATTGCGGTTGTGTGAGGAGGGAGGGAGGGGGGTGTTTGAAGGCTGGACCAGACATCCGCTCCCCAATGAAAGTGATACATCTCTTGTGGTCCTGTGGTCCTGTGGTCCTGTGGTCCTGTGGTCCTGTGGCCTTTCCAAGTGTAGTGATTGCCGTGTGATCACGGCCTGGTTAGGCAGGCGAGAGGTCACTTACATGTGGCTGAGTGTTCCCATTCCATCCCTGTTATTGCATCATCATTATTAGGATTATTCACTCTTACCCATCATTATCATCATTATTTACAGCATATTATTGTTATCATCATTACAGGGTTGATGTTAAATTATTAAAAATGACATAATGGACTCAAGCTATCACTGCTTTACCTTGAAAGTTCCAGCCACTCCTTCCTTTCAAGAAAATAACATTTCCCAGAAAAAAAAAACGGTCACACAGCTTGTAGTTAGGGCAGCGTAGCATTACAGGCATTTTTATTTTGGCTTGAAAAAATCGGCTGGAAAATCAAATTACTTCAGACCGGAAACAAAAATAGATTGAGTTTATACAGTCGCACTTCAACAGGTGAAAATGCAAGCGTCAATCACACGGGAAATTTGAGCGATGAAATTGTGTTCAGTCATGACACTTGCCATACGGCCGAACAGGGTAGCAGTGACTCAGATTTTCTTTGTTCGGTGCTCACAACAGGCCAAATTGGGGGTGTGTTGCCCAGGTCCTGAAGGAAGGAATACTACCCACTTCTTGGCATTTGATGGCCGTTGTAAGGAAAGGGAAAATCTCGCCTGTCCATATTGTAGCTTCGAACTGCACGCAATATAAACGTCAGTGTGAATGATGAAATTTCGCGCTCTTTTTCACGTTCGTGACCTTGCCGTCTATATTAGGAGACAGTCTTGTAAACTGATGACAGCTTTAGCGGCGTGCTCCTTTGGTTTTTCGAGATTTGGAAAAATTGGTCAGCCCCACCCAAGCACACCGGCGTCTCTGATGTTTTTCCCGATTTTTTAATTTTTTGAAAAATCACAAATGAGGGGTCGCATTGAAAACAGATGTGTTGACAGATTTTAGTCCCTAGAGTAAACAATTTTCAGCAAAATTTTCTGTAATGCGACCCAGCCCTTACAATCTTGATTCTGTTACTAATCCAGATTCTGTTTGATCTTCATGATGTGTCCGGTTTGAAGGATGCTGAGTGTTGCTCCTTAGCTTATGTTGATCCCAACGGAACAGAGCTTGGCAATGGCGATGTTCTTCCTTTTCAGTTGAGTAAATTATTTTCACCACGATATGTCCAGTAACTTTGACTGCAGGGAAGGAGAAAGTAATTTCAACGAGAGGGTTGTAAAGAGAACCTTCTTATTCTCTATTGGTTTGTATTCCTTTACAGAGATCTAGTAAACGCATTATTACTCTATCATTATGAAGTCAAAAGCACTGACGTGAAATACAATTTATTAAGCATTGTAGCGATTAATGGCTTTCTTTGAAAATATGATACCCCCGTCAAAAATTTACAAATAGTGAATTGACCAAAATAGTTACAGTTCTTTTAGAAGCCGGAACACATGATTAATTGTTCTGTGGCTGTTGGAAGTAGCTGAAATTGTTGTGCCAATGTTTCAATGTTTTTGCGTTAAACTGCGAAACATGTTATTGATAGTTGGAAACAGGTGAAATTTTGGACAAGAATTTTACAAATGGTGTTTGAAAGGTGCGCAATGTTGCAGATGGAAAGAACGTAGAAACTGATTAACTCCTAAGACTAACCCTTTACATCCTAGCATCAGTGTGCATATTCTCCATTTTGTTCTCTATACATTTACTATAGCATTGACAAGGAGAATTTGCAAAGCAATCTAGACCTGCGATCATTTGCTTTATTCTCATCTCCTTAATGTTTGGTTCAGCAGTAATACTCAGGAGAAATTAGATGCTGGTCAGTCTAAGGAATATAAGAGTTAACGAAGGAGAAAGGAACACGGCGCATCATATTAAAATTGCGGAAACAAGTTGAAATCTGTCGTGCGCAATGCGCGCTAGAGATTTTGCAGACACGGTCTTATAGTGTTCGAAGAAGGGAATAGCCAATGAAATATAGTGGGGGCTATGTCACAGATGGTGAAAACACATGGAGTTTTGCTGAGTGCTGTGATAAAAATGATTAGGCACTTTGAGAAACTTCGTGTAGCGTCAAAGACTACGCCGCAAGCGGTTGCTAATCTTGCTCCCAACTTTTTGGATATTTATAGCCATTCTGTATTTTATAATCGCACAGTCCAGCCAAGAATCCATATTGCTTTCGCACAATAGTCTTACTCTACTGT